TATACCACCACCACTCCTGAACAAAGCTCAAATCACATAAATTTACGAGTGTTAGAAAAAAAAACTCAATCAGGATGTTGGGTTTTAATTTTTTAATTTAATAGTTAAAAATACTTTGCTTCTTTGTATACCATGGTTGAAACCCCTGATCTAAAGAAATGTTCCTATGTTGTTTAGATTCATCCACACTCATTCTGCAAATAAATTGAGGAAATTTTTATATTTTTGTCTATTAACAGTCAAATGGTAACTGCGTTAAGTGATAATATCAGTAGAACATATTCGCTGTACTGATGATTTTCATACTCTTTCTCAAATGTACACATAACTACTAATAATTTATTCATAGTAAATCATTAATAGAAGATTTTACTCTTTGATGAAACACATTTTACTTAACTTATCTTTTATGCACTTTTGTAACATACATGTTAAACGTCAGTTTACATATTTTCTAATTAATATTTCTTTCACTTAAATCATCATTTCCTAGAAACCGGTATTGCTGTTTGTTATTAATTTTTCATTAAAATGCTTTCATAAGTTTTTTTTTTTCCTTCTCAGAATTTTACTTCATGTGATGAATAAGCATTATTTCCATTAAGTTGGAAAATTTGGATCTAGGAAAATATAAAGTTTGTCCAGTTTTGTCTGACATCATTCTAAATCTCAAAACAAATCTATAGCACATTACTTTAGAGACAATTTTGATTAAAAAATCTGTGCAAAATAACATTAACAAGAGAAGTTATCCTAGCTGTATCTAAGCAAATGTTCTGTGATACATATTTATGTAGGTATAATATATTTATGATATATTTTATTATAAAGATTAAGAGTTTTACTAAACATACATCACTTAACCTAGCTTCATATTTAAAGACACAAAACATTTGTACACTGATCTCAGGCAGGTCATGGCTGGCTTGGTCTTTCATGTATTTTCTAATCAGAAAAGCAGGTATGAGACAAATATCATTTAGTAGCTTCCATGAGAGCATCTCTCAAGCAAAATACTTGTCAAAATTAATTAATTAGCTTTTAAAGGTACATTAAAAGCATGATGTTATGAAGAAGAGAAAAGTTTCCACAAAGCAGAAAAAAAATCTAAATTACAAATTAGCAGGAAATCCAGCCTTAGTCCTACGAAGCTTTATTATAGCACTATTATATTTATTGTTTTAAACTCTAATTCATTTACTCAGAAAAAACCATTCTATTAAGAAATTTTATATAACCATCATTAAGAAAAATATATTGTTTTTATATGTTTTTATATGACTACTTCATTTTAGACAACATATTACTTTATGAAGCCAAATAATAGATATACAAGACTTAGTTGAATATCAATTGTGTAGATCTTTTGAAATTTTAATATATAATTAGGTGCTTTATTAGTGTTGGAAACATGATTTTGTAAGTAATTATTTTCTTCTCAGAAGACATGCTGTATTTTTGTCTTAAATCTGGCTGGTATTTTCTAGGGAAGATAATCTTTTAGAAGACTTTTGCTTACATTTTTGTTTGATTTATCCCTTAGAAAATTTCATGAATATCATGATGTTGACTGAGCAATGCTACTAAGGCATTAGTTTTTATATCATTATGCACAATGGCAAATGGTATGAGAGCGACTAAATGGCTAGTCAATAAGACAGTGATTATTTCTGGTGTTTTTTTATTAAACACGATCTGTAGCTTTCATAAGTATAATAAAATCTGAGATAGAGTTAGTAATTCATCATGAATCAACTTGACTGCTTTATGTAATCTTAAACAATGCCTAAGACCTATGGAAAAGCCACTTTAATAAGGGAGTGTACCAAGTGTCTTTCTAAATTTACAGCTGATATCACTCAAAACAGTTTTATGTATCTTATCATGCACATAAATTATGTCATGATGCAAAATATTTTCCCAACATGATGATAATGTAAGTCGAGCCTCCAGCAATGCACACTTCACATTATCAGATATACCCCATTAAATAGAGAGTTCCTGATTTCGAAGCAGAGAACCACTGTACACATATATAGCAATCCTGTAACTGTCTAGTAGTGGGTGGTTTTACTATACTTTACCTTGTTGTAATGATGCTATTAATTATATCTTCAAAGATATCCCTGCCACTATGATAATGAAAAACTGCAGTTGCTTATGATAGTGTCAAACTTAATTTTTCATCTGTTCAAATATTAATTTGATCCAAGACACTCTGATATTTATTAGTAACAAAGTGTCATGCACATATTATGCGAATATGAATAATAATATTTTGGCTTTGTATATATTGTTAATGTTTACTTCAGGACAGTTTGGCTATGTTGTAATTGTAAGTCACTTTGTTTTTTATTTGCAATCTACTGGTGGTTGGGAAAAGTATAAAAGAAAATCATCTAATATGAATGTGTTGTCAACTCCATTGATGGCTGCATGAAGTCTTTAGGCGCTATCTATCCTGCATCAATAATTTTTTATACAGAAATATGCAATAGTTTTATAAACTATGTAAAGTACTTACTCTTGAAGTCTCTTAGATAACTGTTAATCAATAATACACTAATAGCCATTAAAATTGCTATAGCATGAAGGAAAGCAAATAAAAAAAATATTTGTTGTGCATAAATAGTATGGCATGAAGACAAAATGATTAAATTTGTAAGCAGCTTGGGGGTTTACAAGGGTGCGAAATCAGTCGAAACAACTGCTCTACCTGGCAGCTAAAACGGCCCTTATCCAGTTAGGCACTGAGTAGAATTTCACTTGAATGACAGAAATCGGCATCTCATTCCATTCTGATTCAAGTCCATGCCACACTTCATCAATCGTATTAGATGGAGAGGGTTGCTAGGCCAGTCCTCAGCAAACCATGAGCAGGTATTTTCAATGGGTGACAGATCTGGAGACCGTACAGGCCAGGGCAGCAATCAAATGCACTGCATACCGAGGAAGGTAAGAACACAATGTGCAACATGTGGTCTTGAATTATCCTGTTGGAAGATTGCATTTGGCAGGCCTCAAAGATAGGGCACAAGCTCTGGATGTAAGATGTCACAAATGTACCGATCTGGCATTCAAATTACCATCGATCCGAACTAAAGATGTGTGTGCCATGTGCTCAGTGGCTGCCTATACCATCACATTAGGGTTCCTATGCTGATACTGAATGCAACCAGGCGATGTGCGGTCTCCTTGGAGCCTCTAGACACTTATACGACCATCAGAATAATGCACACAGAAACGGGACTCGTCTGAAAAGACGACATTGTACCCCTCCTATATCCAGCTTTGTTGTTGGACACACCACAGTAGCCATCTCTCTCTCTGTGCTGCATTGTCAAGGAAAGCTAAAGTAATGGACACTGTGCTGATAGTCCATGCTGATGCAAACGTTGACACACACCGTACGAGCAGATACTGGGCATGCTGCAAATATGCCCATTTTCTGACTAATGGTCTGTGATGTGGTTGTAAATTTGGAGGGCTGACCTCACAATATGCCTGTCCTTTCGGGTATTAATCATGGGACGGCAATGAGATCCTGCATGCCGTTCAGTATAATCCTCAGCATTCCATACATGCCATATTCGCTTAACAGTGGTTGGATGTCGACTAGTGCAACGGGCGATATCACAGAACGATAATCCACACACTCTATAGGCAACAATCCTGGCTCTATTGAATTCTGACCCTTGCTGGTAAGCATTTCTTCTTATTATTCAAGGCATACCATGATATTCTGAGCACATTCCAACCTTGCAAAGTGCTTTCCGAATGACAAATCCACTACACAACTTTTTGAAATTATTAATTCACCATGCCAAACTTTGCCTAGAAATACCATAATGACTGTTTCCAAGTTTTTGAATGCTTATTTTTTTCCTGTGATTCACATAAATTAGTATGCAACTGAATACCCACATCCAAAACTGAAACAATGTTTTTTGATACATTACTTGTGACAATGACAAAGTAGTGTTCTAGTTTGCCTTTTTGTACCTTTTTAAAAGACGGACATCATCAGAAGTTGCTCTATATTTTTAAATAATCGAAAACAATATTCTTTTTCAGAATATCGGTTATTACTGCAAATATTAACAGTCCTCCATTTTTTAATTTTAGTTCCAGAAAATATTAACATACCAATGAAATATTAAAAGATTAAACTGTTCTTCTGCCAAAAATTTTCAAAAATACAAAACCAATCTTGTTTTATTAAAAAATAAATAAAAAATCCCTTCATGCCAAGCTCCAACTCCCTCAAAATTGAATCTCTAATGTTAAATCAAAATTCTCTTACATTATATCACAACCTCTGATATTTGAAAATCTAAAGTACAATAATAGATACTTTTATGCTCCGGTAACGAAATTTCTTTTGCATAATTATATATTTTGTTTGCCGAAATTTGTCTTCCTAGTAAACATATCTTATGCCGTCCAAATAAAATACTTCAAGCGTTATGTCTGAAGAGGTTTGTGTTCTATATTCTTTACCAGCTGTACCTTTTAGTGGTTTATTATTAATTCAGAATTGTATATGCATACAAAATTTATTACGTCTTATACAGCAAACTACAAATTACACTTTCACAACACTTCAGAATCCATGCAATCGGCTTGTCACGTGACCAAACAAGTGACGTTTTTTACGTAGCAAGTCGGTCAGCCAATAGTGATTCAGCATTGTCACAGCAGGGGGTACGGCGAGTACGTTTTAGGAACATGCGTTCCTTTCAATTTATCTCCGCTGCAGCTCTGCGATCGCAGTTCCGCACATGCGCAGTAGACGCTCTGTATCAAGGAGAAGAAAGCCATTTGGAGATCGCTGTCTCACGTACGCTTTGTTGTGCTTGTTTACAATTCGGTGTTGATTGAAATCCGCCGCTTGTGAAATCAGATCTGTGATTCGTTTTCTGAATGCGAGGAAAGTGAAACCTAGTGAAATTTATCGGCAAATTTGCGATGTTTACGGACCAAAAGCGGTGAGTGATTCAATGGTGAGAAGATGGGTTCGAAAGTTCAATGACGGACGTAGTGATGTGCACGATGAAGAACGAAGTGGGCGTCCATCTTTGGTTACAGAAGAACTGGTTCACGCGATTGATTACAAGATCCATGAAAACCGAAGGTTTACAATTAGTGCTCTCGCTATCGAATTTTCCCAAATTTCACGATCACTAATGCATGAAATTGTTACCGAAAAACTGAAATTTCGTAAACTTTGCTCACGTGTACCAAAGATTCTTACTGAGCAACACCAAACAAAACGGATGGGTAGTGCACTTCAGTTTTTGACCCGTTATACTGAAAGCGGCGAAGAATTTCTGACACAGATAGTTACAGGAGATGAAACTTGGGTTTCTTCTTACGACACCCCTGAAAGTAAGCGGCAATCAATGGAATGGAGGCAACACTTCATCCCCAGCAAAGGTTAAGCCGAAGCAAATCTTGACACCTCGAAAAATGATGTGCACAGTGTTCTGGGACTGGAAAGGCATCTTACTCATTGATTTCTTACCGCATGGTCAAATAATCAGAGCAGATGCTTATTGCGAGACATTTCGGAAATTGCGCCGCTCAATACAGAATAAGCGCCGAGGATTGCTGTCAAAAGGTGTTGTTTTTCTTCACGACAACGCACGACCACACACTGCAAATGTGACGAAAAACCTCCTACAGGGATTTGGCTGGGACGTGTTTGACCATCCTCCGTACAGCCCTGACCTTGCTCCTAGCGACTTTCATCTGTTCTTACATCTTAAGTCTTTCCTTGGCGGTCAACACTTCAACAATGACGACGAGCTGAAAGAAACTGTTTCCAACTGGTTGAAGACATAGGCGGCAAATTTCTATGAAGAAGGTATATAAAAACTTGTGCCGCGCTATGACAAATGCCTGCAATATTTCGGCAGTTATGTGGAAAAGTAGTTTAAGAGTTGTTGAATTTTGTGCAATAAATAACTTTTCTGTAGCTGTACACAATTTACTTTTATTACCAAACGGAACTTACTTTCTGGACGTACATTGTATTTCAGAAAACACAAGTGCCCTTCAGCCCTTACACGATACCCTTACAGCAAAAATAAAATCAATAAATTGCAACATTATCAAACATTACATAAATACAAAATCAACTAAGAATAAATGATAATTCATTAAAAGTTTAACTTTCTCGATCAAACATTTCTATCAACATAAAAATTCATTCATATAGCATGACAGATACAATTTTATGATATATTTACATATTACAAAGACAATATTGAAATATATGTTTTTAATTTTTTCTTAAAAATTCATATGATTAAACTTTTTCAATTAGCTACAGAGTTCTATTAACTAAAAATAAAATTTGGTGAATGACATGTTATGATAGGTAGCGAAATATGTAAATTACAGAAGAATCTTAAATAAATGAATCTCTCAATTTCATGCATTTTGTTTTCTGTTCTCCTCCTAAATAATTAAGATTTTATCTTCATTTAAAAACTATAAAGTTCAAATTTTTACATACCTTGCCTTCTAAACATGAGTATAAATAAATGTCAAAATTTAGTATAGAAATTTAATAATTAGATGTAAATACTGCTTTAGTTGATTAAGGTAAAGCACACCAGGGCTATCTGCTAAGAAAAAGGAATGCCATCATGGAGGATTTTCTGTAGGAAAATTGCCTCATATACACGTTACACATGAGGAAAAGCATAAAAACGCCCGCGCAACCAGCCCATTCACCTGGACTGAAATCTTCATTTCACTATATGTATACAAAAATTTTATGTTTCATTTCACAATATTTGAAACATACGTTTGCTTATTTCAAATGTGATATACTAGTCCAATTTCACAATTTTTGTTGAAATCTCAGACGACCCATTAATTCTAGATTCAACTGTTCTCTTCTTTCAGGAAAGTCCCAGGAATTGCCATTGCACGCCACACAGCGTGCAAAGGCATTTGGTGAAGGACCTTTCAGCCTAAAAAAAATAAATTAAATCACCTTATTAAACCCTTACAAATTCTTTGCCGCCAGGTTCCGTCGCCAAATCCCTTGACGAGTTTTCTCTCGGCTTTCTAGCGGCCCAATAGCAAACTGGTTTACATTACGTCTATGGAACCTTTCCTTCTTTACGTAGACGTTCTTTCGTTAGAATAGAGTACATGGGGGCTATTCTAGTCTCCATGGTACCGTATACGACAATAGGAAGGTATTTTCTTTTGTTCTACATGCACTGCACATGCGCGTCTCTCAATTCTCGAGGTTAATGGAAGCCTTTCTCAAAGACAATCTGATTGGAGCTGCGAAAATTGGCTTTACGAATGACGCTTGCGCAATACATAATTCGACAACAAAGTGATCGCTTCCAACGTTGGCGCAAAACTTGCTTTTTTTTTTTTTTTTTTTTTAGAGAGAGAGAGATTGCCGTATGACATTCCCCGACTTTTCCAGATTTTGACTAAAATATTTAAATTCCTTGACTTTTTCCTGTTTTCCAGGAAGCGTGGCAACTCTGCAATTTGAACCGCTTACTTGTCACTCTCGAAGATGCTGAATTACATCACACTGCCTAGGAGAAAAAAATTCTTTTGTATCCCTATAGTCTTATCTGAAAATTAACAAAGACGATACCCTCAAGCCCTGCTTTCAAATGAGCAGCATTTGCCACTGCAAAGCCAGTTGAAAAGGGATGGAAATACATTTCTATTTCCTATCTTTTTAAGTAAACTTTGCTTTGTATGATCCTGATACAACCCCACTCTTGAGACAGCATGACTAATTATGCAAAAATCTTCTCTTCATTTTTTGTGAATTCTGAGAACTGCAAAACCTGAAGCAATGAATTTCTGTGGAAGGTAACGATCTACGCAACATTTAACCCAGCGCCGAATCTTTGATTTTTCTGATGTGGGGCAAAAGCTAAAACTCCCGCCCTCGATCATCATCCTTTAAGTTTCTCTAAAAAGTTTTAATTTCATTAATAAATACAGAAATAGGTAGGGTTTGAGGTAAAAAACCTAAGCTCTAAAAAGTTTTAATTTCTTTAATAAATATAAAAATAGGTAGGGTTTGAGGTAAAAACCTAAGCTCCATTTTATACTAAATTCTTTACGTGCCCCCCTTTTTTTTGCTATAAAGGAAAAATACATACCGAAGTTACATAATTAGAAAATCGTCCCCTTCTAGGAGAATCGCCTTTCTTGTGAGCTTACTTTCGGATTCAATCCTAATCCTAATTCTAAACCTGAGTGCTTCTAACCCTCCAGTCCTCACCACCATTCGTTTTCCGTTCTAGGGACAACGGGCACCCCCTAAGCTTCTCACTATTCTGTATTATTGCATTATTGGTTAAATTATGTTGGGTTAGATTATATGAATATGGCAAAGACAGGAGGGCTACCTAATTAGAGAAGATGTGCTTTCATGGAGGAACGTTTTAAAGGAAACTGGCTCGTATTCACATTACACACGAGGAAATCCACGAAACGAAACCATGCAGCCAGCCCGTTCTTCTGGGTTTGAACCCAGGCAAGGTCGAACTACCAGTATTCAGCGGTCTTAATCACTCGGGCACTGCTGAGGTCTGATTATTTACTATGTGTTTCGCCAAGAGGTTCTGCATGGAAAAGGAGGGATATCCCGTGGAAAAAACTGTAAGGGAAACTGGCTCGTATCTATGTTACACACGGGAAAACTCACTGAAATGCTCATACAGCCAGCCCATTCACCTATACTTGACCCTCGGACCGAACTACTAGTGCTCAGTGGCTTTTATTGCTCAGCCACTAATGGGACCATTGCATACAAAATATGGGCTATTGCCGAAAGTAAGTATTCTGAAACGATTATACAGAATATGGGCTATTACTGAGAGTTATTCGTGCTTCCTGTCTTGTTTCTCATACTTCCTGTTTCATAAGTAATTTTAAGTTCTTACCTGCCTTAACGCTATTAAAATATCACTGAATTAGTAACGAAAATTAAAATTTTACTTTGTAAGCCTTTTGTTCTGCAAATAAGTGCATGGAGTCGTCATAATTTGATCTACGGTTCGATTTTCGGTTGCTAGAATCACGAGACTTGATAAACGCTCCTAGCTCACCGATGATCGTAGATATTTTTTAATATGTTTTAATTTCCTGAAACTTCGATCTGAACAGGTTGAAGTGTTCGTGATTCGTCCTCAAGCAGTTCATCAGATTGCTTTTGTGCTTTGGAATTCTTTCTTTGTCAGATAGACTTAACTGCATGTTTTTCGATTACTGTTTTAGACTCTTGTATCCAATATTCCATACGATTTTTCTCTCTTTATAATTTTTCTCAGTTTTGGTCAGTTCTTTCATTAACTACACATCCTTTAAGTTTCTCTGACATATTAGAATATCATATTTATCAAATTTGACAAAATAAGTCGTGAAATAATATGAACGTGGAAGAGTAATTCCTTTTGAATTTCTATATTTACTTCGATTGAATTCTGGAAAAATATTAACTTCAAATTTTTTCAGGTTGATAGTAAATTCAAAATTTTTCCGCCAGCATGTACCAGATGTCCTACCTCATGCTTTGATTCCGCATCAAGAGAAGTATCTTTAATTTCTTTTAAATATTTGAATATTTGCGGTAAATTCATTAGAAGGACTTTTACAGCCACATATTTTTCCGACCATCTCGTCTGGCTGCTTCCTTTTAAGTTTTATTTTGTATTTCTTCATAATATACCGTCGAGTAGTGCATCCGCAAAAAAGCGAAGTATTTTCTGAGTAATTCCAAACAGATTAACTGTTTCCGAGCACGAAGGAACAGAATGCATGCTGACAAAATACGAGGAGTGAGCCGAACATGGCACAAATTCCTCCAGCTTATTCATTTCTGTAATTCTAGCTTATACTGTTTTAGAAATGCCAGCCATATTAGACCCGTTGTCGTAACACTGACACCGACATTGCCCAATATCTAAACCATCAAGTGTCAATTAAGGCACTAATTTTCTACACTGCGTTCAGAAATACATTCTCCTGTCTTTCCACCAATTTCTATGAAATCAATTAAACTTTCCTTTATCTCACACAATCACAACACGTTTTTACGTATTGAGTCACCTGGTTCATTTTTTTCTGTATGAGACACATATGGGGTAAATATGATTCCTTTCACTTTGTTAGGTGAGTTGACTGGTACTTAAGAGTTGAATTATGTTTGGCAAGCGGAGAGATTAAATTCAGAAAATTTCCTTTGCTAAGTCGAGGACACTTTGTGAATACTACTTGGACTACTTGGGATTTAATCAGACACAAGAAAAGAACGATAGTTTGTTGAAAGATATAGTACCGCATCCATGACTATATAGATTTTTTTTCCATTTTTCTTTCTCTGTATGAATGAGTTGCTCAGTGTCGTGATCTATGCCTTGGCACGATTTCATTTGTTGTACTC